TTCTCAGTCTGTTGCATCTAATGTAACATTAGGGCACTTGTGATAAACTGGTCGCCACCACACTTCTTGAGTGAAAGAAAACCATAGAAACAGTTGTGTGTGGCTCTAAGAGGAACGGGGAGCCAGCAGCCACTGCCCGTGACATTTTGGAGAAGTGCAGAATCACTTTTGGCAGTTAAGAACTGGGGATGATTTTCTTGTCATTTGATGGGTTACTTCTTACTGTCATTATGTTCAGCCTCCCAGGGTGAGTAGGACCACTTCACACGCTGCTCAGCTTATCTGGAGCTGTGTGCTACGCACCTGGAACAGATGGGTGATTTTTCAAAGCATGGCATGGAGTCTGGAGGAGGTAAAGCGAAGAGGAAATCAATATCTGGGAAATTGCTGCAGGATCCTAACATTGTGTCCTTCATCAGCAAAGGACCAGCAGTGAAATATAACTACCTGTCCTGTGCTTCACCCAGGATGGTCGCATCTACACAGATATGACTCCAAAATCCAGATACCTGTACTTGGCCATAGACTCTGTTGCTCTGCACCAATGTAGGGCTAGGAAAAAAGGCAGCTATCCACTGTGGGAAGGCAGGAAAATAATATATAATAAAACCAAGACAGGAAATTCTGGGGACAGAACAGCTGCTCTGTTTATAATATTTGGAAACTCCTAAGCTGTTTCTACTCAATGGAGCCTGGAGGGCTTTTAGAAATTTCTGCTGCCTCCTACAGTTGACCTGGTCACAAAGAGCTTTTTGTTGTGAGGCCTTTTTGGGTCCAGCTGTGCATGACAGGAGTCCAGTCCAGGCAGAACAGGGAAACCCCTACCACTACAGAGATTTTGACATAGCCTTCTCTGACAGCAGCTCACTTAAGATATAAATGCAGATTATAGCCCTCATAATCCAAGCTGGTCAGCAGGCAGCTGTAAATGAGTCAGTTATCGACTGATTCCCTTTGAACTGATAGATATTGTCCCATATCTTACATCAGCTCTGTGTAAGGCAGTGGGCCAGGCAGATTGAGAATTAGCTCAGAAACAATCTATAGGATAATATCTTGGAACAGCATCGGCTCTCAGCTGGTTTAACAGCGTGGTCTGATTCATCTGTGCAGCCAGTGTAGCACCAAGACAATGGAAGAAAAATAAGCCACGCTGAAAAATTGGTGCACCTGGCCTCACACATGAGAGAACTTGAACAGATTGCTTCAAAAATACAGACAAAAATCCTTTTCCAGTTGCAGAAACAGAGCACAGGAGTGTGCATCAGTACAGCAGTTTTGGAAAACCCAGCTCTGTGCTATTGAAGAATACCTTTCTCCAGTGTCCAGAGTAAGGATGATGCACATCTGTCTGCCTGATCTTACAGCAGACCCTCTCCCCATGGGCAGGCTGATGCCACTTCTCACAGCTGCAAGGGAAGCAGCAGTTCTCACTTCTCTTCATGGAGCTGTTTTGTTTTTGAATTATATCAGAAGTCCTCTGGTCAGCTGCTCACTTGAGGGCCAACTCCAGCTCCTGCTTTGCTCCTCTCAGTCCTTCTTGATCTTCCAGGGAAGTTGCCTGGCACTGATTTACACCAAAGGGAATGTGAGCCTTCAGTGCATGTCAAGACTGGAGGTTATGGTCTAGGTACAGAGCGACTGTTGTTTAATCCTTTGTAGATCTGGCATGCTGAGTTCACTCACACCTCGCTGCCCACTGGGTTACTGCTTACCAAGACCTTCCAGTCACTGCTCCACTAAGAAGCAAGCCACAGTGACAATGCCAATTGCTTTGCAAGAAGCAAAGGGGCAGTGAAGTTGGACCAACACTGACCACTTGAATCCCCTGCACCCTCCAGGTGCACTGCTCTTCCCTGCACTTGGCTTCTGCCAGCAGCTGTGCTGAGTGCAAGGTGATGGCGTCCTGCAGTAGGCAGAGATGAGTCACTCACTGCTGACACTTCCACCCAGCACCAAGGCATGCAAGCCCCAAGATGGGAAGGTCTGGGTCTCTATCAGTTCTGGGCATTATAAAATCAGCACTGAAAACAGACAGAACTCATGCTTTTTACCTCTTCTGAATGGTCCCAGCCTTCCCAGTATCCCAGCTATGTATCCTTTTTAATGGGGAGTTTCACTCCTTGCTCCAGCAATGACAGCAGCTGCCAGCATGCAGCCCTCCAGGGGGACATCTGCCTTTTGGCAGGGCTTCCCAGCCGCTGTGAGCCTGATGTGAAGCTGCTGTGTTTGTGAGGGACTGAAGCATGAACTGCCCCGCTGGTGCTAGCAGATGTGAGTGACAAAGGAGAAGGAGGAAAACACTGATAATCAAAGAAAAAGAAAATAGCAAAGAGATAACCCCTCCTGAGCAGGCAGTGTGAGGAACTATTAATGGTTAACTCTCTTTTATTGTTGGGTAGGAGGAAGAAATGCAATTGCAAAGGGAAAGATAAGTTTACTTTACAAAGCAAATTTGTCAATTACTCTGCCAGATTATCATTGTTGTTATTTGCTTTTCCCTCTCTGAATGATAAAAAGAAAACATGCAGACAACCCTAAACCATAGTCATACCCCTTCCCCACAACCTCCCTGCACACACAAAAAAGAGGATGCTAAACACAGCTTTGAAACCCATGAGGATAATTGATGCTGTGACGTGCAGAAGCCCACAGGACTCCCGGGGAGCACAGGTATAAGAGGAGGAGCGCACCTCCCCGGCAGGCAGAGGACAGCTGGGGGCAGGTCTCAGTGTGCTCCCTGCTCAGTGGGGTCCTGGGGTTGGTGCAGGGGACGGCTCAGCAGCGCTCACACACAGAGGAGAAGTTGTGTCTGCAACAGGGGAACACCTGAGCAGGAGCTGATCCAGGAAGGGCTTGTTTTGAGGGAACGGTAAGTACGGGTCTCTGCATGTGGGCTCAACAAGATTCAACAATTCCTATTTGGAAATCAGAGGCAATTAAACTACACTGAAATGCAATCTAAGCTCGCATTGGTAATTAGCTTTGCTGGATATAATACCCTTTATATCATATGGGATTCTTTGTATGAAGTTAGAGAAGGAAACAGTAACTGAACTATTGGATAAGTGCAAAGCAGTACAGTAATAATACAGGGAAGCCTGTATTTAGTAACTGCCAGGCAGTTACTAAATGAAGCAGAGATTTCTTCTTTTGCTATTCTCGTGCAAATTCCTTTTGAAAAATGAATGCCATTCTACTCACCAATCAGCAGAGTTGTGTTTGTGCCAAAACGAAGCGTGAGCAGGAATGCAACAGCGTGTTCCAGTAGCACAGAGCCAGCTGTGAGGCAGCGAGCCACTTCAAATGAAATATGGTGTTAGAAAAGCAGAAATCCTGGTATAAAAGTCTGAACTTCACATACCAGCAGGCACAATAGAAGCTCCATTTCATCTCTGCAGTGGTATTTTTGAGACCGATCAGGTAAGATTTTGGGAGACACAGTTATCAATGTCTCCCAACATCATTCTCACAGACGCTGCTGTGTTAACACTGCACAGGATGGGATGGAGCTACTGTGCTTTATCTGTTGGAATGGTGCTAAAAGCTCTTCATCTTAAAGTGGAATTTATTAATCATTTTTATCCACATGCTGCCAGAACAGAAAAGAAAGGCAAAAATTCTCACCTCGGGAGAATATGAAGGTGTCACGGCTTTGCAGAGCTGTCATCTGCCCATGTGCAGGGTGATGCTTAAATCCTCTTCTCTGAAACAGCAGGCACTTGTGAGGGGAGGCTGAGAGGCTTTAGGCTCCTTCCCGGGGGAGACAGACATACTCGAAAAAGCTGAAGGGATGAGAGGCTGATGGCAGCAAGGGGAGAAAAGGCAAAGCGAGACGGGAAGAAAGGTGAAACAAAAGAAAATAATCACACAAAAAGCAGAGAAAGAAGAAAGAATCTCAAAGGGACAAAAAGTGGCTCTGGGGGAAAATCCAGCACAGGCAGTCAAGGCTGCGTCCTAGGAAGAAAAAAGGGAAGCGGACAACATTGTGTGAGACTTTCTTCTCATTTACATTGATATTTCACTTCTCAGCTCACATGGTGGCTTTTCTTGGAGCTGTATACGTCTCCTGTTGGCACGTTCTTTAGATGCTGGTGCCATGGTCTCCTGGTACCCTCCAACACATATAGAGTAATCAGTAATTCTGATTTGGAATTTGTCTTTGAGCTATTTAAGGGAGAGAGGCACAAGAGGGACATGCTTTCCCAAGCTCAAACGAAAGATAGAAAATTAATGGAAATCCAGACCAGCACTCCTGTGTCTCTCAGTCACCTTTTTTGCTGTTTCTGGGCATTCCTTGGCCATCCGAGGGATGACAAACCTCCTTAGAGCAGGTTTGGAGGAAGGCTGTCCTCCTGCACCCGGCTCTGCTCAAATCAGGGCTGTCGGCACTGCTGACAGGGTCCAGAATGAGGAAGGGTTGCACTAAGGAACCCCAATTCATAGAGCACCACTGTGCCCACTGGCTGCCACTCAGCACACTGCCCCTCGTCCTGTTACAATTCCATGCTCTCAGCAGCATGCTCACTTGCACACACACCACACCAGTGCTTAGAGAAACTTTGCCATGCTATTCAGTTTGCACTCAGGTGAGTGTGGGCAGCTGTGCCTGTGCAATGAAGCAGTGCTCACTGCTGACATTTTCCATCAGAGCTGCCTCCTGCCACCACCATCCATAAAATCCACTGCTTGGAAGGTTTACTGGGGAAATGAGAAGCCCAATCAGACCCTTTCCACTTGGAAATTGCTCTTGTTGCAATACAGTATTGTTAAATATTTGGAAGTTTCTTTTCTTTACCCCTATAAATGAACTTTTCTCTTTTATGGAGATCAAACATTCATTTCTGCCCTTTTCTTGTGTAAAATAACACAGCTGAACAAGAAAACTTTATGTTTTAAAGATCTCCATCCATATTCTGCTTTCTTAAAGAATCTTTTTTGAGCTAAAGATCAATTGCTTTTGATCAAAACCGAGGAATGATGTTAACAGAAATATTCTCCCACCGTCTCTTGCTTCCAATAACAAAAGCATTGAGTTCACCTGCTGGTGGTGTGCAACCTCAGGCAATTCTTTGCTTTGAGTCATCCATCGGGGATGCTGGACACACAGCCAGCCTCAGGATGCAAAACACTGCAGTGTTTGTCTCCAGCACACACTGATGGTGCAATCCATCCTGCTTTCACTTAAGTCCTGAGAGCCACAAAGATGTCTTCTATTGGTGGGGGAGGCTCTTCTAAGCATAACTGGGAAGGAGAGGTCGTGGGGAGCACGATGGAGGTTGTTGTGCAGTGATGTGGGAAGGCTGCTGTGGGCAACTTGTGCCACTGACTCACTGCTCCATGTTTCAGGTAACTCCAAAGGCTGGAAGATGCTGGATAAGGCCACCCTGTTCCTGTTCCTGCATTTAGTTGCAAGCTCCATCTCCTTTCCTCTCTACCCAGCTCTCAGGTAAGATGTTGAATGTTTCATCCATACTGTAACTCTGTCTCACCTCTGACCTTGTGCAAAATAAGCACATGTCAAATGAAGCTTGCCAGACCTTCTGAAAGCCACTGGTGAACATGTCTTTACTCTGGCTTAATTTTTTGGGAATGCTGCTAGTTTACGGGTGGTTTCCCAAGAAAGCAGACACAATGTGGAATATTTCAGCCCAGCAATTGGTTTTGGCCTTGAATGCTCTGTCCTATAAAGGGAAATCTAGCCATCTCCAGAGCCAGCACTACCAGCTCCATAACCGACTGAAATTTGTGCCTGAAAGCTACCTGCACTCAAATCAGAACTGCAGATTCAGTATGGGAACTCAACAGCTGCTAATTAATATTTCAAGTATTTCCTTACTAACTGTGAAAAGTTAATATTACTTCCTACCATTACAAATTGAGGGATGTACAAAACTGGGCATGGGGCTCTGTAAAGCAGATTTGTAACGTCTCATAGAAAATGCTTTAGACCTGTGCTAAAGCCATGGCACAACAATGCCACAATTGCTAGAGTTTTGCTTGACAGTGCTGGAAAGCTCAGAGAGGGGAAAATGTATTTGAGGAAGCTTTACCAATTGCCTTTTCACTGTCTCAGGGCAGTTTCTGACTGGGGAGAGCGATGTACAAAACTGATGTAACTGAAAAGGTAGGGTAAAAAAAGGAGAAAAAAAGGAAAAGCAGAATGCAGAGTAATGCTCAAGAAGACCAATCCCTGACTGGCATTTGAGCACATTCCACAGCACACTTTGGGTTTTTCTTGAAGGTACAGCCCAGGACCTGTTACTGGCAAGTCTGTGAACTTCCATCTCCTGGACCACAGCCTGCTGCAGAGCCACAGTCCTTCAGCAGAGGAACAGGATGAGGAGGGTTTGTTAACAGACCCCGCTGAGAAAAGGTTTGTACTTCACCTCTCAGCCCCGCTGCAGCACTTTTGCAGGGAGTACTGTCTTTCAGCAAGCTCTGAAAACCCACAGCATGGCTGTTAGAGCTTCTCCTTTCCTCTCCTGCTGGGAAACAAGGGATGGTCTGTTGTCTTAAAAACAATGCATCCCTGCAGCACTGAAGACCATACATATGGTTTATGCTTCCCTAACCCATGGATTTTCTGTAGCCTGTGTCCAGGCACAGGCAGGAGAAATGCCCAAGGATCATCCTGTGTCTGGGACAGGGGTGTCCCAGAAAATGACAGTGCTGCTGTAGAGCACAGGAACTTCCCACTCCCAGCTCAGCCCTCTCTCAGTCTGGTTCTTCCCCTTCTCAGTGTTCCTTGATGTCATCTTTGCTTTGCTGGCACTTCTTAGTTGTTTCAGTGCAAATATCGATCAAAAGATTTATTTTGCTTTACTGACGCCACCCTCTCAGGGCCAAACTCTCCCACATCTTTTTACCCCCCGCCACTAACTCAATATCCAGAACGTTCACCTGGCACCGATCTCAGCAGTTACATCTGGTGTATTAAGACACGTGAAGCACCCGCTTCCCAGCAGAAGGCTGACCATGGGCTCGCTGAGCACAGCACCTGTTCCTGTCTTCCCCCCCAGGATGCGGCGCCATGCTGATGCCATATTCACCGACAACTACCGCAAATTCCTGGGGCAGATTTCTGCCCGCAAATTCTTACAGACCATCATTGGCAAGCGACTCAGGTAAGGCACGGGGGGCCCGCTGTCCTTGGGACAATGCTTTGCTGATTACATCTTATGCATGTAGCAGAAATAGTTGCCTTGTGCTGCAAAAGAAGCAATTTTTCCTGCTGCTCCACACCCAAAAGGACATTCTGCATCCCCCCTTCTAAGATCCCTCTAATGAAGCAGCCTAATTAATCCTTCCCTCCAAGCCTATCAGTGTCACATCAGCTGAGAGCTCTGCCACATGAGCAACAGACAGCAACCTTTGCAGATTAACAACTGCAACCATCATTCACTGGAAGGAAACACCTATTGTTATGCTGTTATTCCAGGCCTGTTTGAACATAGAAAACTGCCTTTCTGTCAGCACTAGGATAGCTTTGCTTAGATAGATAAGCCCAACTAGGCAGATGCAAGCCAGCTCTGGGCAAATGCAGCTGTGCTCTCTCAGGGAGAACAGAACAGCCCCAGGCCCAGCAGGCTCTTTGCCACGCTGCTTAGAGCCACCATCTGAGCAAGGGACTGAAAGCACCTCTCACAGAGATCTGTTTCTCATCTTCACATGACAGAAACAGTGAGAGCAGTCCAGAAGAAGGGGTGCATGAGCTCCTGACAAGGCGCCAGACAGACAGCATCCTGATGGACAGCCGCTACCACCAGCAGATGGTACTGAGGGACTTCTTGGGAGCCATGCTGCAGCATCAAAGGTAGGAGGGAGGCATCTTGTTATCTGCGCTGCAGGAATGAGACAAGGCCCTTTTTGATGTCTGGCAAACATGAAGCAGAAGTGAAGCTACTGGACTAGGTGCTATTTTTCAGATACACCCAGGGAAAGAATAAAGCTCCTACCTGTATGCACAAGCCCACTTCTGGGCAGGTGGGGTGCAGGGAAGGCACAGTTCTGGCCAGCCTGCAGCACTAGCACCTCCCTGTGCTGCCTCCTCACATCCAGAGTTCAGCCAAATAGCAGTGGGGGAAAAAAAAAATCATCTTGATCCCAGTTAAGGCATCATTCATCCCACTCTTTTCTTTCATAGGCCTCAGGATGTGACCAACAGTCGGTTAGAGGGGTTTCCCAGCACCCTGGCTAAGTTCATGTAAATATTTTTCCCTTTTTCGTCTCCCCATGCTCTGGTGAGTACCATCCCCTGTGCAATTCTGTAAGCACAGCACCCAGCACGTGGCTGGAAGGTTCTGCCTTGGCAAAGTCAGCTGCCACTGCTGTTCACAAAGGACAGAGCATCTGTTGCAATTTCAGGGGAAAAAACTCCCAATGAGTTTTGTTAAATATCAAAAGAGCCATTAGTCTGAACAGACACCATGAGTGCTGTGAAGACCTAGGCACATGTTTCCCCAGAATGCCGCCTGGTCTGACTGCTCCAGCACTAACCCACAGGCACAGCTCTTACTGCAGATCTATCAGCAAACCCAGCAGAACTCCAGTGCCCACTGGTGCAGCTGGGAACAGGCTCACAGCAGCCATAAGCAACCTCATAAAGCTGAGGCATTGAGAATCAAAGCCAGGGTAGAAGCAAACAAAATTCTCCCAGGGAGCAGAACCTACCTTTAGATGTCCATTCCCTCTCGGTGCACTGAATGGGAAATGAAACCTCACAATGTTCTGTGCTCCCCAGTCCTAAAATTAGTCAGCTGAAACTCGAAATATGCTCTAAACCTTGACAGCCTTGTGGGACTGAGTGTCCCCAGATAGGCCATTGCTGCTATCACCTTCATTCACACAAACGTGTTCTCCTTTATGCAGCAATCCCATCTTATTCCTCTGTCTCAGAAATTAAGCCTGCCTCACCATAGTCAGCATATGAAACAGTGTGAAGAGAGCTGTGCAAATATTATGCAGAGCAGGGCTGTGGGTAGCAGGGAAAGATCAGAATGGTACAAAAGAAATGATGCCTATGGATACAGGTGGAAAGCATGACATTGTGGCATCTTGCTTACCATGCCTGTGTTGGTGGTTCTTCCCACAAGTAACATGAGCCAAAAAAATACTCAAAAAAGGGGGAAAAAAAAGTCTGCATGTGTTCAATAGCTTTTTCTTAATTCTCTTTACCTCCTGCTTCTGTCCAGAATGATTCAGAGCTCGTGGATCTAACTGTACAGTAAGCCATTCACAGCAATGAAGACATTCCTGGAGGTGACCAGCTGGAGACTGATGCATACACTCCTCAAATCTGCTGAAAGGAATGCAGTTCTGATGCACTACTTCATTTACTTCAGTCTTTACTATTTAATTCCCCTCTCTAAACACTGGTTTGTGTAGTGAATCAGAAAAAAACCCACCAAACCTCTGTGGTTTAACCTCAGGCTGCTAAAATAACCAGCACACTTGTAATCCTGGAGACGTTAATGACTAATTAAAGTTTTCAGATCATGAAGTGTAGCAAAATTTCTGCCAAATCATCAGTCTGTTTGAGGGCCCAATTAATATACACAAGGCCACCAAAAAGCACCTTTGGGCAATTCAGTGAACTGATTACAGCCTCCTCTAAACAGATGCTGATGGCACAACCACCCACAGTTCAGCACAGGGTGAGGTCAGACATGAATCCACACGTTTGCCACCCATCACAAAATCTGCTGTGGGCTGTTGGCTCCTTGATTGAGCCTTGGCAGCAAAACTGAGCATACAAAGCTCGTTATAAGCAGTTACTGATCAGCCTCAAGGTGTTTAAACCAAAGCTACAGCTTTGCTCTGCAAGAGTTAAGAGATCTTTATGCATCAGATTGGGCTGACACTGTTTTAATTCCATGTGCCATGGAGTAGCTCTGAACTCCACCATGGCTATAGGGTTACAGCAGTAATGTTTGCACTATCACAAGTTATTAGGACAGTAATCTCTCACACAGCGACTTCCTTCCCTGTCACCTGAATTCTACTGTTTGTGTAATATTTACGTCTTCTGAAATGTAAATAATGTCAGGATGGGGTCTGCACCCCCATCATTAGCAGGGAATAAAAGTTGTTCTAAATAAACCTGTTCAACAGCAGGTCAAGATGGCTCTTTGTCTGTTGAAACACTAACTTTTTGATTCTGGGCACACAATGGAAGATAGCACTCAAGGAGAGCTGGCAGGAGCACTGAATACAGCTCAGAACTGTGCTCACAGAGGATCAGTGCCAACCACTCAGGACCAGGCTGGAAATACACCTGCACACAAACACACAGGGGCCTCTTAAAGCATCCTCCTTGCACCAGAACAATTCCTTGTTCCTGCAGTATACGTAAAAAAATCATCTCCCTTTCCCTGAAGTGATCATGTTCTAGTACAGTAGGCTCCAGCATACGTGGAAATGAGCTCCTACTTGCACTGAACAGATCACATACTCTCTGTTCAGATTCCAATTCTAGCACTACAAAAAAAGTACCTACTGCCCAGCAGGCTGGAAAGCAACAAGGGGATGTTGTACATCAGTGAAGCTGTGAGAGCAGCAAGTGCTCTAATGGGTCATCTGTACCCCTTACAGAGACAGGGAACTGTCACGGTGAGACACGACACCCTTCTGCTTCACAGTGCAGCTGGAGAATGACCAGCAACAGAATGAACAATCTGAAGTTCTGGTTCAAAGAGTGCTTGTAATGGCTTCAGGCATGTTGGCTGGTGTGACAGAACAGACTTACAACTCACTTCAAGGAAAGGAATGTGGAAAAAAAAGACAAAAAACCCCATCCAAAACAGCAGATTCCTATAGCGGAAAATAAACAAGGCGATGAAAAAAAATTGCAAGTGCCATAAAAAAAGGCTCATTTGAAAGTTCAGTTGCTGTCAAAATGAGGAAACAAATGCTCAAACTCTGGCAGATTAAATGTTTGAAACAAAACAAAGTATCTGATGAATAAGAGGCCAGAAAAATAAAAGCATCCTTTCCTAACAAAAAAAGTAGAAAAAAATCAATAGCAACAGGCAGAGTTCAGGAAATGCATCACTGTAGAACCACATGGTTTTCTTTTTTGCATTGGTTCTCTCCTTCCACAATGTGCCAGAGATCTTGTAAGAGTCAAGTGCTGGGATCTCTGTCCTACCGGGAGCAGCAGCAGAAAAACAAGGTGTGACACAAAGCTGACAGGCATGTAGTAAAACAAAATAAAACACGAGGCTCCAAGGAATTCAACAGGGTGAAATGGAATCCCAGAGTATATTACCACAAATAGTAGCTTAACTATTTCTTGGTTACAAGTCCATTACTCCCAGAAGGCTTGAACCCAGCATGAGATCAGTCTTTTGAAGGAGTGCAGGAGAGTTCATTAAACCTGTACTATCTTCAGTGTCAAGTTCACCATGAACAAAACGGCAGGAGCTGGTATGAGAAAGAACAGACATGGTGAGCTAAGCGTGAACGACTGCAGAGGGGAAGAGGCAACATGGCTGTCAGAAAGCAGAGCCATGTCTCACAGATGTGAGGTGCTGTGGAAGAATTGGCCCCGTGTCCCTCGGCCGCATATTTGTTGGCTGATATAATTTTCTTGGATTTCCAAAAGACGTTTCACGAAGTTCCTCTGCCAAAAGGTCTTTAAAGAAACCCGTCTGACATGGGACAAACGGGAGCCAACACATGGATGCAGGGGAGGGAGCCAGGAGCAACTGCTAAGTTTTCCATGTGGAAATTGTTCATCAGGAGAACTCTCCAGAAATCTGCTCCATTCCCCAAAATCCTCATCTTCCACTTCCCAGATCATTAATTTGATGACGATACAAAATTACTGAATGCAACTTCAAAGCTCAGTGTTACAATAAATATGAGTGAGAAGGATCCCCCAAACCTGCTGGGGCAGACACAGCCAGACATGCAGCCCACAAGGACAGCCCCAGGGACTCCTCCTGTTTGAGCTGGGAGCAGCCTCAGCAGCTCCACGTGGCCGGGCCCAGCTCCATCCTGAGTCAGAGAACACTGGTTAGCAGAGAAATGCAGATGAAAGCAGATGAAAGCATCACAAAGGACAGGCAGGAGTGGGAAGTGTCCCCAAATAAATGTGTACCTCTGGGAAAGGACAGAAAAGAACAGGAAGCTCCTCACCACAGTGACTAATACACAAAAATTACCCACCAGAAAAAGCTCTGTTCATGTGAGCCCAACTTCCAACCAGAGAATCTGAAACAGCCAAAACAAAACTCAGGACCATTCTTTCCTCTTTATTCACAAATTGTTTAGTATGAGGAGAGGGCACCTGGGGAAAGGCAGAATTATGTTTTCCTTTTTCTTCTTTTTCAAAAGAAATTAAAACATTCTAAGAGCAGAGAAGGGGGACAGGGATGCAAGGAAGAAAGGACTTTCTGGTTTCATATGAAAAACACTCAAGTAGCATGAACACAACAGTGAAAAATCAAGATTTTTAAAAAAAGTTTAACTGGAACCCTCTTGACTTTATATATATATATAAAAAAAAAAATCTGCTTCTGCTTTCATTCTTCTGCTCTTTCAATTACTTTTTCACTTCTATTCTGAAGGTGTTTGCTCTGTTTTTCCCCATTTCTTCCATTCTTCTGGTGCTAGTGTGTCCTGGAAAGGGAAACCCAAACAATTAGCTCTCCCAGGCAACAAAGCACTTCTTTACACAGTACAAGTGCCCCCAGACCCCTTTTTCTCTCTCAAAGGAAGCTTCTCTGAGAGGAGAGTGATAAAACCAGTACTGCAACATAACCGAGGAATTAATACAAGTAGTATGGAAACGTTCAGGCAAAATGAAGGTCAATTTCTGGTGCAAAAGAAACAAATGAGCCTTGAAAAACACAAAACTGGACAAAAAAGCAGGGCTGAATGCAAAGTAGCCTGCAGCCGCTCTACCACTCCTCCACTTTCAACAGGACCATTATATCCAATTGCAACCAGCTGGTAAACACAAAGGAAAGATCTTCAACAATGTGGGCACAGTAAGTCCATCTTTTTAGTGTCCTTTTCCCTTTCACGGAGACAGATACAGGCATAGCTGGGTGCACTCAACAGTCCAACCCCAGATGCTGGTAGCAGTACAGTCTTAACTGACATATCTGGGGCATCAGAAACCCAGCAGTGAGGAAAAGTGCTTGTGAGTGCACATGGCAGCAATTATGGTTTGTGGATAAGTTATTTCCAAGATCTTCCAGGATTACTCATAGCCCACAGGGAATTAAGGAGTTAAAATACCCAGCTGAGAAGCAGAAAATTTGCAAGCTGTGGAGAACACACTTCCTAAGTATTTGGCAACAGGCCACTAAAGCTGAAAATCACTAGCTCCAAGCTGTGGTAAAAAGAGAAGCATCCAGCAACCAGAACACAGTGACAAGTGCCATGCACCTCCAGTAACCTGTCAGAGACTGTTTGCTGCTATTATACCTCTAAACACTCCAGGGAGAGCAGAGGTGGTGCCAGGCTGTTTTTCCTATGGGATACAATGCTAATAGTCCATAGGTAATTTTCCTGAAGCCATCCTCCATGCTATCTGATGTGCAAACAGGAGCTTATAGCACAGTGCACATGGTTTCTGAGACGCAGCCACCCACACTGTTTTGCTTTGCACCACAAAACAGAGCTCTGTTCATTGTGCTGTTTGTATACCTGGAGTGCTGGCTACGAACATGAGAGAGTGGGTGTTGATGAGGCAGACCAGTACCAGCACATTCTGCAATAGTTCTGGCCCCTGGACTTGTCCCACATTCTCTCTCCCTTCCCCTTTATAAGAATAATGTGTTAATAAGAAATGAAGCCATACACACAAAATGGGCAACATGCAGATGGCAGTAGATCTGCCTCCCATCACACCATGGATGTAACAAACCGGGACCTTACCTGCTCAGATTCAAAGGGAATGAAGGGCTTTACACTAGCACGTGCTAATGGAGATCCTATCGGATGATTGTATTCATTCGTGGGGAGCTGGCAGCTGCTGCTACTGACTGAGCCATCGTGACCAGTTCAGTCTAATTGAAGGGTGAATCCTGGATCGTGTCCTCAGCTGAATGAGACGGTGCTGACCTGGCTTCTGTTGCATACAAAGCGCTTGCCATCTGAGCAAATTAGCTCCACCAGCAGTCAGAGTGCCTAGCAGCTGAACAGCCAGGATACTGCAGGTGGGGTAGGAGTACCCACAGCAGGATGGGAAAGGCTCAGATATGAGCCACCTTCGTTATGTTCTCCTCTAGCCAACGCTGCTAATTATTTACAGGAACAATACTGAACTTGAACTATGTTTATTCCTACACCCAGCATATTCACACGCAGATATCACCACAAGATGAGATTATTAAGGAATCACATGAAGACCATTTAGCCTTCAAGGACATACACTGCTAGAATGCAAACCCAGCTATAAGCCAAGGACACCCAAGGACTGATTTAAAGCCAAATAAACAATGCTGAAAGGAGGCAGCTTCAGCTCAGGTACCTTTTTGTGCAAGAAATGAGGAATGAAGTGAAATGAAGCAGACAGCACGCCCAAGAAAGGCAAATTCCAAAAAGACCCTTACTTCTAGAAGAGTTGGTCACTAGCAAAACCCCTTTTTACCGCAGCGTTCTATACTTTGCCAACCTACTGCTCTGCTCTGCAGCGATCCTGCCAAAAGGAGAGAGGAAGAAAGGTTCAGAGAAGATAGGAAAGAGGAAAAGCAGCTCTGCTCTGGGAACCAGAGCCCACGATAGAAATGCAAAGAGCAAAACCAGGCCTTCTGGTAACTTCTGAAAAAATATGGTTTGTTATACAGTCCCCCTCCAACCCCTACCTGCGCTTTCCATAGTGGTACAGCAGCTTTGCCTCCAAGTGCTATCGAGTTAATTATCAGTGCACTTAACATCTGAGCCAGACCTGCTGTACATTAACAAAAAGTTGTCTTTTGGAACTTTAAAGTCATGTACAAAGGGTTTAACTTTAGCCTAAGGTACAGGTTCTACTTTCAAATCTGCCACTGTGGTCACAGATTCATGTCACGTACAACGAAAAAGCACAGAGACACCCCCTGCAGTGTTTTGAAGTACGAACCAACCACCAGCATTTATGTGCTAACAGAAGCCCTGGTTGAGCTAAGACACTCAGAAGTAAACTTTGTTGTATTTTTTTCCCCTTGCATCTGTATGCTAAGAAATCTGTTGTTAATAATGACTTTATTGTGATCCGTTAAATTAAAAGTGAAACATTATTAAAATAAACAAGACAAGACATACTGCAGAGGGCTGGGCATTCAAGGGAGCAAGTCTGAGACAGCTGAAAGGGCAGCATGTAGAGAGCTAATTATAATTGTC